CTTTTATGCCTAAAAAATAATTGTGCATCATAAGATATTTCAAAGGCTTAAAGGTACTGACAATTACTGTAGGAAGTGATTTTTTTCCTCTTTGTTGCCACGTGCCAGTAACAACGCAGGAATTATGGGCACTCCTTTCAAGCTTTCCAAAGACAATATAGAACTACATTTTGCAACAAATCACCTTGGTATGTTTCACATTTTTTTTAGGATATCTCTTGTTGATCGATATTCTGAGCAATGTCAGTATGAAGTGGCCTGAAAGACTGAAACTTCTTATTTATTCCTTCATACAATTTTTTTTTTTTTTGAAGACTTCAGAGCATCAGCAATGAATTAAAAATGGAAAAGTCGTAATCTGGGGTTATTAGGAGCTCCTCATTCAGGAAAAAGTGTTCATCCTCTTATTAATCAAAAGATTATATACACAGAGAAAATTGATGACTGTAGTCATCTCATTTAGACTGTCTAAAATTTCCAAGTTGCTAGCACACGACTTGTTATTTTCATTGCACTCAGAATTTGATACATTTATTAGAAGTGATAGATTTTGTTCTACTGTTTCTGGTGTTCATAGACTACATGTAGTAAGTTAAAGGTGAATTGAATTCTTAATGCTTTGCAGGTCATTTTCTTTTGACAAATCTCTTGTTGGACAGAATTAAGAAAACAGCATATGAAAGTAAAAGAGAAGGGCGAATCGTAAATGTGTCATCAGAGGCTCACCATCTTTTCCAGTATTCTGGGGGAATTCGTTTTGATAGGATCAATGATCAATCAGGGTAATGTTATAAACCTATAAATATGTACACACCTGTTATCTTCAGCCTTTTGACTTCTTTTTAGTGGTGGATCTCTTTTAAGAAGGGTTATCATGAAAATTCAACTATTTTTCAAATTCGAGTATGGACTTAAGGTACATAAGGTGTGTTCATTGGTTATCGGTCTTCATGTTGCTATTGTTTGGTATAATATCTTTATTAGTAAGATGCATATAGTAAGGTCAAATTCATTGAAACCACCAATAAATTGCTAAAGGAAAGAGTTGCATTATCCCCCCTCCTCCCCCACCCTTCCTTTAGTAGTTTGGCAAGAAATAAGTGGGAGTAGTTCCTGATGAAATTACACACACAGGCTAACTTTAATTGATGCATATGGTTCACTTTTCCTCTCACAAGGTGGAATATCCATACCCTTATTTAGGATATTTAAAATTTCCTAAAAATGATTAATAACTCCAAAAGCAATATGTTTCTCATGGATTATATATTAAAACATCTCAATGTATGTTTATAATTATCCAAAGCATCATGAACAAGTTTTATTGTTTCATCCAATGGGTCTAAACCTGATATATTGTTTATTCTTTATATCTTTGATTTCATTTCCTGCTTACTTACTTGTGGACAACTGTTTGGATGATGATTAGTTATTTCACAAAGGGGAAATGTTTGAATTCATTTTGTTGCCCTTGGACTTGATAATGTACAGGTACCGCAGATTTGCTGCATATGGCCAATCAAAGCTAGCTAATGTTTTGCATGCTAATGAACTTGCAAGACGTCTTAAGGTATGCTAATGCATTATTACAAGCATAAAAGATGGAAGATATTATGGCATATGATCATTACATATAGGTTGCAATTTGAATTATTGATTTTTTTTGTTTACAAAAGGCATTATAGATTCTAAATCTTAGCTTCTGACTTTACCCCTTGTAAGTTTTTATTTCAAACTTTTTTTCCTATGACCTTGTATGTTTTAGTTTGGCATAGCTAGTGTAGTAGAGAATGTTATCTTTCTTATCTTATCATTCAGTTCCATTTGGCATTATCTTTTACCAGCGTCTAAAAATGTGAACTTTTCAGAAACCTAGCAAGGTTTCCAGCACGTATGATGGGTTTCAATATTTCATTTAAAAGGAATTTTTGAAGTAGATCATTTGGAGATTGAGCTTGGATACCATATGTTACTAGACTATAATTGTGTTATCTTGTTGTAAGCCTGCTTATGCATTTTTAGCTATGTCACATAAACTCTGGAATCAGGACCAAGTGTCTGATATTGATTCCCTTAAATAATGAGGCCCTAAATCATTTTTAATTTTGTGTAATATGTCACCCCCATTTTGATTAGAAGTACCTGTTACATAGTTTTCTAAGCAACTGGCTATCAAAACGTATATTTCTTTGGGTTGCTAGCCATATCAGTTAAGCATTACAATATTTACTGAACGGTAAAATTTTATGCAGCAAAGATTGTACATTCTGAAGTGAACCCCCTTATATGTTTATTAATTTATGAAGTTCTCATCAGTGCATGTTTTTATGTGACTTAAGAGTGTGGTTCTCCTTTGTAAGTAGAGATCAGAATGATGCTAATCTGACATTAGTTTTATTACATGTGACCTTTTAGGTTTTGCTATGCTTTTCTTTACATAATTTGTACACTTACAGATAAATTCCCTTTGAAAGAGGATATCCCTTTTAAATGGTCTCTCTGTACTTTTACTGTGCTGTTGACAGTGTCAAATTTAGATGTTTCTGTGCTTGTGAAAATATACATAATGCTATTTCTGTCATGGTCTCACAGTTATGGTCTTTCTTAGTCTTCACTGCAGTAGTTTGCAATTGCTATGTAAGATCTGCATGATGTTTGTTTCTTTGACCAGGAAGAGGGAGTGGATATAACTGCAAATTCACTTCATCCGGGGGCAATTGTCACCAATATTGCCCGTCATTATTTTGGCATTCTTAATGGTAATTATTTAAGTGTTTGATGTTATGACTGGGATTTCTCCAATTTGGCTAAGCAAACAGGCATCATTTCTCTTTCTTGATGCAAGGAAGCAATATAGATACTGCTACCTTATGCATGTAGCATACGAGTCACTTTATTTTCTTTGTCTTGATACAGGTCTTCTTCGCAAGGTTGGTAAACTTGTATTCAAGGGTGTAGAGCAGGTAAGAAGTTTTCACTTTCAGGTGTAGAATTCTTTAATCTTATGTAAGTTTAGGTAATATATAAGGTGAAAACTAGCAATGGACTTGAAAATTCAGGGATCTCGTGTTAGTGGGGAACAAAACTCGTTTCTTAACATGATGAATTTCAG